ATCGTCATAAACAGTTCCCACACTCCGGACAGCTCGCCTTTACTACTTCCATCGCCACTTCCTACGCCACTGACCTGTTTCCCTCCCTTTCCATAGCATTTTATGATTGCAGAAACCTTAATCTAATCGTCAAAAACAGTTCCCACACTCCGGACAGCTCGCCTTGACTACTTCCTTCATCACTTCCAACGTCGCGGACCTGTTTTCCTCCCTATCCATAGCATTTTATGTTTGTTGATACCTTAATCTAATCGTCATGAACAGTTCCCACATCCCAGACTGCTCGCCTTTACTACTTCCTTCATCACTTCCTACGTCACGGACCTGTTTACCTCCCTTCCCATAGCATTTAAGGATTGCAGATACCTTGATCTAATCGTCATAAACAGTTCCGATACTCCGGACAGCTTGCCTTGACTACTTCCTTCGCCACTTCCTACGCCACAGACCTGTTTCCCTCCCTTTCCATAGCATTTTATGATTGCAGATACCTTAATCTAATCGTCATAAACGGTTCCCACACTCCAGACAGCTCGCCTTGACTACTTCCTTCATCATTCCTACGTCGTGGACCCGTTTTCCTCACTACCCATAGCATTTTATGTTTGTTGATATCTTAATCTAATTGTCATAAACAGTTCCCACACTCCGGACAGCTCGCCTTGACTACTTCCTTCATCACATCCTACGTCGCGGACCCGTTTTCCTCCCTTCCCATAGCATTTTATGATTGCAGATACCTTATTCTAATCGTCATAAACAGTTCCCACACTCCGGACTGCTCGCCTTTACTACTTCCTTCACCATTTCCTACGTCGCGAACCTGTTTCCCTCCCTTCCCATAGCATCATAGGATTGCAAATACCTTAATGTAATGGTCATAAACAGTTCCCATACTCCAGACAGCTCGCATTTACTATTTTTTTCACCACTTCCTACGTCACGGACCTGTTTACCTCCCTTCCCATAGCATTTTATGATTGTAGATACCTTAATCTAATCGTCATAAACAGTTTCCAAACTCCGGACTGCTCGCCTTTACTACTTTCTTTGTCACTTCTTACGCCACGGACCTGTTTCCCTCCCTTTCCATAGCATTTTATGATTGCAGATACCTTAATCTAATCGTCATAAACAGTTCCCACACTCCGGACAGCTCGCCTTGACTACTTCCTTCATCACTTCCTACGTCGTGGACCCGTTATCCTCCCTTCCCATAGCATTTTATGATTGCAGATACCTTAATCTAATTGTCATAAACAGTTCCCACACTCCGAACTGCTCGTCTTTACTACTTCCTTCACCACTTCCTACGTCACGGACCTGTTTTCCTTCCTTCCCATAGCATCATAGGATTGCAGATACCTTAATCTAATTGTCATAAACAGTTCCCACACTCCGAACTGCTCACCTTGACTACTTCCTTCATCACTTCCTACGTCGCGGACCCGTTTTCCTCCCTTCCCTTATAGTTTTTGGAATACAGATACCTGAATCTAATCGTCATAAACAGTTTACACACTCCAGCTCCAGACTGCTCATAGACTGCTCACCTTTAGTACTTCCTTTAGCACTTCCTACGTCACGGACCTCAAGCTAGTGTCGTCATTTGATTATATTTATGATTCATACTGTTTCTGTTCTAATATCTGTGGAATAATGCTATCAGCTATTTCTTTATCTACTGCATTCAAAAGTCAACAGCTGATCATATGTCTTTGTTTATGTGTCAAATACTGCTTCCATAAGGATTACATTGAAACTTTGAGACCCAGTGGGGCGGATTCCTGAGAGTTATTTTTAACGCCATATAGATGTTGGCACTCACCGATATGGTCTTTATCACCATCCAAAATTTGAAAACGATTGATTCAGCCGTCTAGGAGGAGTTTGCGTATTACGAAATGCATAAAAGTCGACGTATAAGAGCTTCGCTCGCTTCGCTCCGCTCAATCAGTGTGCGTCTGTGCGAATCGGCTGCAAATCTCACTTCAACGCTTTTCACATCGTACAGATTGCAGAATTGCTGTTTTATTGTAAAATTATCGGATTTAAAATGCATATCGTATAGGCCTATGATGGAATAAAAACACATTTCGTCACACAACATTTGTTTACAAGATGATTTTTCACATTAAAACTGCAAGAAACTTTGTCTTTAGCCTATATGTGTAAACTAGCTGATCTGAATTGTACACGGTTTTAACTGACTACTGAATTCCCGTATGTAGGACGGGTTAACACCTCGTATATAATAATTTTATTTTATACACTAGCGCTTTCAGAAACTAGGCTTCCATCTTCAGGCACTAGTACACTGGTACAAAAAGTAAATATTTACTTAATAATAAATTAATTTTAAACAAAGTTAAAACAGATGTTGTAAAGGACATTGGAAAAATATATAAAAATTAATATTAGAAGAATAATCTTTTGAATTTTGGATATATTACAGTGTTGTTCTTGATGTAATTATTTTCATTAATTCCGAGTTTATAATTGGGCCGTCTTCATTACTTAACAAATATAGAAGTGTGCCAAACTGATATTTTCAGTACGGCCATACTCAAAGTAATATCGTGATAATCGTCGTATTCTGAGATCACTGCAAAGTCCGAAATATCTTTCTCAATTACTGAAACATCACTATTTTTCATGGTCGTGGCAGTGTAGACATCATCATGAACTCCCGCAGTCACGGAAACGTCTTCGTCGTCGTCCACGATCGCGACAAAATCATGAACATCTTCCGCGGCCATGTAGACGTCATCTTCATCTCCCGGGATCGCGGTAATGTCATCGTCGTCATCCCCGATCGCGATCTCTTAATTTATTAAGACAATATAGGGTTTTTAACAATATAGTCTAGGGGCCAGAAACATGAATTTTGATGCTCAATTTATTGTTTATTTATTCGTTCTGGTTTGATTATTCAATGGATAAAATATTTCTAGTATCAGAGTTATTTTTACTATGTTAACTTGTTTCATCTCCTTTTGAAGAACATTTAGATAGTATTAAAATCGTGTCTGTGGATCTTTTGTGGTTACATCTCCCACTTCTCACAATTTCATCATAGTGCAAGGCAGATTAAATCTATGTTTTTATTTGAGAAAAAAAATATCTGTTGAGAAGGCACGTTCTGAATTCAAAGGGAGGTCTACCCTTAAGCAGCGTAAGTTTGATTTTTTCCTTCATTACATCAGTCATCATACCGTACTTCTGTGCCAATAAATTAACCTCAAGGTAATTTTCAGAAATTATTCTGTGGGGTTGCTGATAAAGCTGGAATTCCTTGACATGTGGATGTCAGTTGTCTTATGAATTACATGAAGTTGTCAACATAATCTCTCTTCGGAATGTTCTAGGTGTAGTGGCAATGATCTCATGAACCTATGATGATCTGTCTTGAATAGTATGATAAAATTTAATATAGGTAAAAGTGGTAAAAAAGGCAGAAACCAACCCGTAATAATATGAGTCCTGAAAATTGGTGTTTACCGGATGAGTGTGGTCGTTCCTGTGCGAGACGAAGTAGAGTACGGGATTACCATACGAGTTCGGTACACACATTTTGGACAAGTGACGTACAATATTTTACACCTTACTAAAGCTGTACAAATCCTTATATATTACCACCGACTTTTAAGGACTAACATTCACTAGTCATAACCTCTAAGAGAGGTTATGTTTTTGAGTATAATCAGCTGGTTGGTGTCCGGTAAAACTCATTACTGAAACCCCATTTGATTAAGCTGGCGGCAAACAGCTGTTTTCTGGACAGTTTACTTGCGTGGGAAGTTTGTCAAAACAGTGTAGTATGGCGTAAAATAGTTAACTCGATAAGAAATAATTTTAAGAGTTACAGTACTTTGATATTAAGATTTTCTACTGATTTCGTAATAGAACGTTATATTGCAAAGTTTAACACGATGCAGAAGAAAATCAATTTTAAAATCAGGAAAAAACATTTCAAATACACTTATTAATTTTGACCAATTCAGTAAATCCCTATAACACTTGTTTGAAATACAATTAAAATATTAACAGTCATTAAAAAGTAGTGTAAAATTACCCACATGGTCATAATGTAAACAAATCTGGGAAGGGAACTTTAAAGGCCTCTGGGGTGTAGGTCCATCACAATTTACCTAGTTTCTCTTTTGATGGCTCATCTACAGACCAAGACCTTTCTTTAGACATCCTTACCAAGTTTCTACGCCCAGCCGTTCTCTCAAATTAACTGTGACAAAACCCTGTTTTTCCTCCTTAAGATTAACATGGGATGGGAATTTTTAAGGCCAATGGGGCAGAGCCCTGTGGGAATTCACCTTGTTTCTCTTTTGATGGCTCATGTACAGACCAAGACATTTCCTTGAACACCTCTACCAAGTTTCTACGCCCAGCCGTTCTCTCAAATTAGTGGAGACAAAAACTTATTTTTTTCCTCCATAAGAATAACATGGGATGGGAATTTAAAGGCAACTGGGGCTGAGCCCCAAGGGAATTTACCTCGTTTCTCTTTTGATGGCTCATCTACAGACCAAGACCTTTCTTTAGGCACCTCTACCGAGTTTCTATACCCAGCCGTTCTCTCAAATTAGTAGAGACAAAGAAAAACAGTTTCAAATTAATATATAGATAAGATATACAGTATCCTAATTTATATTTTTCTATTCCTGGTAACTACATTAAGCATATATTATTTTTGAGTAGACTTATGTTTATCCCATCTTCACTCGCAGAAGAAGCTAAGTCTCTGTATGCCACTACTTTCTTTGTTACTGGGTATATTGCTGGCCTAGTGGTTAGTTTTACGGACTTTGGTGCAAGAAGGACCAGTTTGGTTCCCAGAGGGGTTTTGACCGTTCTACCTCAAAAGCACTAGTGATCCTTCCTTACAAAACGCCACTAGCATAGAAAAGAACTGAAAAAATCCAAAACTTATTTATATTGGCATGTGTTTATTACCTTATATTATTGCTCTGTTCTTTTTCTAGGTCGTTGTATTGGACAGATGGGTTCATGGTCATTTAGCTACTAGTGAACACTTATATTAAGATCTGTTATATACTCAATGTTTAGATCTGTTAGATATTTGTATTTTAATGTTTAATTTAGTAGTTAATGGTTTTAAAAATAAATTCTTCCTTTACTTACTGACTTTTTAATACTACTGTGATATTTGTTGTTAGAGTTATTTTAGTTTATTTTTAACTTTAATGTATTTTTGTTTTGTACCTGAATACAAAGTTATTGGAAATAAATAAAGATGTATACGTATATTTGTTTTGTGATATTCCTAAAACCTGTATATTTCCAACTACAAATAAACAATACTTGCAGTTTTGTTCTCTCCTTTATTAATCTTCCAAGTTTAACAATCTGGGTACTATTTTATTTTTTTAGACATAATTAGTTTTAAAATTCATGTTTTCGGCCCCTGGACTATATTGTTAAGACAATAATAGGTTTTTTACATACCTCAGTCAAATAGTCCAAAAATGGTATTGCTCAACAGCTTACATGTTTCGTTGCGAAGACAACATTATCAAAGCTTGCAACTCGTCAAAAACACATTTAAAACACGAACAACACAGAAGACATTAATACGGTACGAATACACGATTGACATTTAGATAGCGCTATCATATTACTGATTTGGTCCGGCGCGGCACGGGGCTGGTAGCAGACTGGAGGTCACGTCACGTCGTCTCCTCTACTGTTATCACTGATGTTATCAGATCTTCGATCAGCTGTTCCTGAGTTTAATATTGTATTAAAAATCGAGTGAGACTGGAACTGTAATTTTTCGTTAAGGATGTGTTCTTTACACTGTTCGTCATTATAAATTTTATAAATCTCGAACTCCTCCAAGGTGTCAAGTTTGCTACCTTTCCCACAGACATGTAGAATTTTTAAACCATCGTCAATGCTACTCATTGAGTGATTTGAATCAACCAGGTGTTGTGCAAAGGCTGATTTTTGTTTGACGTGACGTGACCTCCAGTCTGCTACCAGCCCCGCGCCGCGCCGGACCAAATCAGTATTATGATAGCGCTATCTTAATGTCAATCGTGTATTCGTACCGTATTAATTTCTTCTGTGTTGTTCGTGTTTTAAATGTGTTTTTGACGAGTTGCAAGCTTTGATAATGTTGTCTTCGCAACGAAACATGTAAGCTGTTGAGCAATACCATTTTTGGACTATTTGACTGAGGTATGTAAAAAACCTATTATTGTCTTAATTAGTTTTAATCGAGACCTAGGCGTGTACATTTACAACAGCAAACCCTTTGAATATTTTAAAAATAAAACATTAAAAATACAATAATTTCCCTATAGCTCCTTAACCAATAAAGATAACAAAAAACATTGAATACAATTATTGTAGCTAATTTTAAGGGCTAAAATATGATGAATTTTATAGTACATTTAAGCATTTTTTTGACATTTCGTTTCCCAAAATTACTGTAACAGAAAAGAAACGTAAACAAAATTGGATCTCAGAAGACCTGAATAATGAAAAAAAGAACTACTACAATTGGCCTTAAAAACTTTGTGGAAACAAAAATCCTGTCATGAAATACGAGTTGAAACAAAACAAACTGAAATATAGGGCAAAATTAGTCAGAGCTCAAACAAATTATTTTGAAAATAAAATAAAAAAAATCAGCCAATATACAAAAAACAGTATGGCAGATTATAAATTCTGAAGTTGGGAAAGGAAAGGGAACAAGAAATAAAAATATTACTTTGAAAGAGGGAAATTGTAGCTTAAGTGATCCTAGAACTATTGCCAACATGTTCAACAAATATTTTACTAATGTTGATCAGGATGTCAGAGGCAACCAATGTGAGAGCAAGATTGAAAATCAAAGTCTTATTGAGAATGAGCAATGTATTAAAAGAGGTTTTGATTTTAAATTTATTGATGCAGGGGAGGTGGAAAAAGTAATTAACTCTTTAAAAAACAAAAATTCTGTTGGACACGATGATGTCCCTATTAAAGTTATAAAGCATGCCAAAAAATGTCTGAGCCATATTTTAAGTCATTTAATAAATTCATCTTTTGTATCAGGAATTTTTCCAAATCAATTTTAAAAAATCTAAAATAATACCAATTTATAAGAAAGACGACCTAGAAACTGTGTCAAATTACCGTCCTATTTCTCTCCTCCCAGTAATATCAAAAATTTATGAAAAAATTGTCAACAGTCAGTTATTAAATTATTTAGAAGAATTTAAACTATTAAACAATACTCAGCATGGATTTAGGCCTGGAAAATCTGTAATTACAGCAGCAGTGTCATTCATAGAATCTATAATTGAATCGGTTGATAAAGGGGAGTTCACAATAGGAATTTTCATGGACCTAACTAAGGCATTTGATAGTGTCAACCACACGCAACTGATAGATAAATTACTCATTTTAGGGGTTTTCAAAAAAATCAATAAAATGGTTTCAGTCATACCTAAATAATCGTTGTCAGTTTGTAGAAATCACACATAATCATGATGTCACGATTGTGACAGAAATTATATTTTATTTTCATATGTTATAAGGTAATAGAATTGAATGTTAATACAAATCCTGGAAAACTAGAAGAAACCGGTTTTCTTAGTTCAAGTCGATACCAGCATTGATAACTGCAAGCGCGCAGTCTGGTGGCAAGTGTTCGAGACTAGGCTTAGGGTAGCGATGATTCATAATTTGGAGGAGAACCACGTTGTTTCAATCTCATTTTGCGTAGTTGTGGCCGACAGTCAACTTGTTCCCTCGATTTGGAGGGTTCAAGTCCCAGAGTTAAACATCGTCGGAGAGTACGCCATCGCCTATCTGTTGTCTGGAGGAGTCTGGACCAGTATCACCTTCTTGGAGGCCTAACAACCGTCTGGGACAATCTGTTTGCAAACCATGGACGTCTTCTCACCAGTAGACTGTCTCCGGCTCAGATCATCTCACTGAAGCTCCACCAAGGATTGAAGACAGCATCCGTGAAGTGATGAGTACCCTTCACCATGTTACACATCAATATTTTCAAATTTTATGATTAGGCCTATATATATGAGTTGTAAAGTAGAAAAGTACGGACTTTGGAGAAGACATGAAGTTTTAGGGGAATTTTTATACATAAGGTTTGATCGATCAAAGAAAGGGGAGGGCAAAATAAAAGGGGGGGGGGTTAGTAATGATTGTAATGTTTTTTTTGGTTAAGTGAAGATATCAATTTTGTTAATTTTCTAAGGTCAATATCATGCAGAACAATTGTTAGTTTTAAGATTTTATTTCATTATATTGGATTTTTACTGGAATAATACGACTTCTTATTTCAGCATGCCCTTCTTGCCTCCTTTCACAGCACGCTATACTTGATCTTAAATTTAAGACACAAAGGTGTGTCAGATGCGCCACTCTGCTAATCAAGTTCGTGTTTGTGAGAGGTGGAGAGAGAAGCATGATGAAATAGAGATTTTAAAGGTTTTGAGTTAAGTAAATAAATCATGGGTTTCAATGTTGATCTGCTCCACAAAGATGAGCTGTTGTACGAGTTGCAATGGCGGGGTTTCCCTGTTACTGTAAATAATACTGTAACTATCTTGAGAAAACAACTTAGGAAGGCTTTGAAGGATAATGTACCGACGAAATGGGAAAATTTAACTGTGTTAAGGGTGACAATAGAACTAGACAATTGTCGAGAGAAGGTTGAAGAATTTCGGGAATTACTTGCGAGTGTTGAAGAGATTAAGGAGGCGGTCGGTATTCATAGGTTGAAAGAGCGAGTCAGTCATTTGAGGCGACGTTTGGGTAATTTGCTCGAAAACGGGAATATTCGTTTGCCAGATCAATCGCGAAGCCAGGTTTCAGAATGGGTCAATGAGTCCAATCAGTGGGAAAAGGCACTGCGTAAAGGTTTAGATAGGTTAGACCAGACCGTAGTTGAAGCTAGTTTGAGAAAGTTAAGTGAAACACATGAAGTTGAGGAGAATGGTATCGAGTCGGATAGTATAGATTATAGTAAGGATGTTTTTGAGCCAGAAAATGCGCAAGCGATGGGTAATTTGGATAGGGACCAAACAGCAAGAGATGCTCCAGGGTCTAATGTAGAGATAAGCAATTTGGGTATTGATAAGAGGTTGCATACATCTTCTACTTCCGAGTTGTTTACAAAACTAACTAATCCACTTGAAAAAATCATACGTGAAATCCCTTCTAATGTTAATGGCTTGGACCACAATAAGTTATTAGCTTTACTCAATGTAGTAAATAAGTTAAAAAAGTGTGGTAAACTTAATGATTCACAGGTGTTAGAGGTTGTAGCTAGTCATGTAAGCGAACCATTGTTGGGTAGAATAAATACGCACATCCAATGTGGGTCAAACGTAAGCTCTGTGCATAGTGCCTTACTAAGGTACTTCATTCCACAGGGTTTATATGAGAAGCTAAAACGTGACCTGGTACATAGACCCCAGGGTCCAGACGAACCTCTTGCCATGTATGTGTGTGAGGTAAGGAACAACGCGGAGTTGTTAAAATGTGATTACTCAGAGCGTGAACTGATTGACGTAATTATCGTAGGAATAAATCCGAGGGACAGAAATAAATTAGTTTTCCAGGAATTTCCTAAAAGCTTACAAGATTTGGAAAAAATGTGTATGGTAATTAAGAATGTTGAGTATAATGACTGGGAAAGGGAACAGATAAGAGGGAGAAGGAATCAGTTTGGTGGTAATAATTCTGGTCGTGGTTATGTAAATAATGTAAATACAACTAATGGAAGAGAAGGCGGGAGTAATCAGATGGAACCACGGTTATGTCACTACTGTTCTAAACCCGGTCATTTCATAAGGGATTGTTGGAAACGAGGTAGGGACATTAGGGGAGGTTACACTAGGGGAGGTCACACAAGTGGCGTGTCAAACAGGGAAGACGTCGGGAGTAGGCCTACAGGGACCAACAATCAGGGAAACTAGTGAGAGGGAAGAGTGCCTTCCATAAAACAGGGGACTTTAATAAAAAGAAATTTGAGAAAACATTCAATAACAGTTTATGTAATTTAGATGTTAAGAAACATGTTAAGAATGAGAAAAATCAGGTAAAGAAATTAGAGAGAAAGATTAAGAATAGGCGTTGGTTCAAAACTAAAAGAGGTATTCATAACTTGCCAGTAGTAAATGTACATTTTAGTAACAATATGGTACAGTGTGCATTGTTAGATTCGGGGAGCTCTATAAACATTATAAGTAAGAATGTTTATGATAAGCTGGAATCTAAAAGGCTAGTG